CTGCCTTTGGCTCAGGTCATGATCCTGGAGTCCCGGGATCGAGTCCCGCATCGGGCTCCCTGCTCAGTGGGGAGTCTGCTTCTCCCTCTGACCCTACCCCGTCTCATGTGCTCTCTCTCTCTCATTCTCTCTCTCAAATAAATAAATAAAATCTTTAAAAAAACAGATATTGAAAACCAAGGCTAAATATAATATGACTGATTATGATGTCTGCAATTTACTTTAGAATGATTCAGAAAAAAAAATGCATACCTATATAGATTAAGCCCAAATAGTAAAATATTAACAATTTGAACCTTGGTGAAAGACACATGAGTGTTGATTATACTGTTCTTTTAACTTTTTTGTTTGTTTGTAAATTTTTGTAGTAGAAAAAATTCTGAGTACCATACCACATACCTTTTCTCTGATTATTTTCTGGCATATATAAATATATGTTAATGTATTGTTACTGACCTGCCTCTTCAACTAGAAAAAAGAAAAGAAAACTCAGGGGCACCTGGGTGGCTCAGTGGGTTAAGCATCTGCCTTTGGCTCAGGTCATGATCCCAGGGTCCTGGGATCGAGCCCACATAGGAATCCCTGCTCAGCAGGGAGCCTGCTTCTCCCTCTCCTAATCCCCCTGCTTGTGCTCTCACTCTCTCTGTAAAATAAATAAATAAAAGCTTAAAAAAAAAAAATCATGGGGCGCCTGGGTGGCTCAGTCATTGGGTGTCTGCCTTCGGCTCAGGTCATGGTCCCAGGGTCCTGGGATTGAGCCCCACATCGGGCTCCCTGCTCCGCAGGGAAGCCTGCTTCTCCCTCTCCCACTCCCCCTGCTTGTGTTCCCTCTCTCGCTGTGTCTCTCTCTGTCAAATAAATAAATAAAATCTTTAAAAAAAAAAAATCAGAGGTCTACATAATAGCAACTGGAGTTTGTATTACTATCTTTTGGGCTTAAATATCTGTTCCTTAACCAGCAACATTGCTTTTGGGATTTATTATAAATTATACTGGGCTTGCTTCCTTTTTTTAAGGTTTTCCTTTTCTGTTATTGGGTAATGTGCAAGAAGGGGATAATACAACTTATAACATGATGAAGACACAAGTTCCTTGAAGTATAGGCAAAGAAGAAATAAAACAATCACCCTCAAAATACATAAAAGGCCAAAGTAGTAATTTTGCTGATGTTTTCAACTCATTCCTACAAAACAAAATTTGCTCTGCTATTTTTACAGGCCAGGAGTACTAGAGAAGAAGTTATAAGTTATATCTTTACTATAACCCGTATCTAGTTATATCATAATTTTCAGATCCTGTTTGTCCAGGAAATGAGTCCCATTTGGATAGTTTACCTTTAAGTAGGTAAACACTAACCAATTTCTAAGATGAACTGGTAACTTTACTTAACAGTTGACCTTAATTCTGGGACACAACAAGGGAAATCTATAAGAAAGATGCACCTCGCTTATCTGGCATGTGGTTTCTGTTATCTAGATTCTAGATACACAGTTAAGGACAAGAAAGAAGTGCAGTAGAAGCTGCCTTCACCCACCATTTGTTTATTCCTACTTTCTACATTATTTCAACAAAGTCCCAGTCGGATTTTGTTGTTTACCCTTACAAGATTAGAACAAGTACACTATTAGGGGCTCCTGGGTGGCTCAGTCATTAAGCATCTGCCTTGGGTTCAGGTCATGATCCCGGGGTCCTGGGATCAAGTGCTGCGTCGGGCTCCCTGCTGGGCGGGAAGCCTGCTTCTCCCTCTCCCCTTGCCCTTGTTTTTTTTCTTGTTTTCTTTTTTTTTTTTTTTTTCAATTAATTAATTAAATTTTTTAAAAAAAAAAAAAAGAACAACTACACTATTAGATGAAGGAAGTTACTAGTACAGGCAGGCTTGGTGAATCTAATGAGTTACAAATGAGTCTGAATCTCCTAGGATCCATTTAGGCGGCTTCAACAGTAAATGTGTCCTCCCACATATGAAGCCATCCGAAAGCAAGATGGCACCAGGTTGGCTTGACAACATCATCAAAAACCCAAGTCCTTTCCATATCTCTGTGCAACTGTTTTCATCATGTCAGCATATCTCCCCTCACGGTTACAAGGTGACTGCATTAGCAGTTGCAAGCGTCACCTGCAGACACAACTGTGTCCTGCCAAGAACAGGGGTATTTTCCTTCACATCTCTGTATTCTTTATATTATGGAGAAAAACCAGGAGTCCCCAACAGACTTTCTTAGGTCTCCTGCCCTGCATGGATCATCACCACCACCACCACCTCTACCAACATCCCAGCCATGGTAGTAGCTATTAGATACCAGCTTGCTTTATTTATTTATTTAAGAGTGCTTTATTTCAGCAGAAGAATTCTGGGAATGGCTATAGATAGGAAAAAATGCTCATTTTGCCTCACTTTTTTTTTTTTTTTTAAGATTCTATTTATCCATTCATGAGAGACAGAGAGAGAGAGGCAGAGGGAGAAGCAGGCCCCCAAAGAGCAGGGAGCCCAATGCGGGACTCGATCCCAGGACCCCGGGATCATGACCTGAGCCGAAGGCAGATGCCCAACCATCTGAGCCACCCAGGCGCCCTTGCCTCACTGTCTTACAAAGCCTGTATGCTTTACAACCCACCTAGCCTTGTGTTTTTGTTGGGTTAGGTTAGCGAAGGTCTAGGGGACTGGCCTAGGCTGGGGCCTAGCTATAGGACTGCTTAGGATGCGGAGCAAGGAGATGTATTTCAAGGGTCCAATCGAAACCAAGGAACAAAAGATAGATTAAGCAGATGTAAACAAAGGAAAACAGGCTAAAAAGACAGAGCAGGTTCTGTGGGTAGTACCTGGAAAACTACTAGCACCTCTAGAAGATCCACAGTGGAGCCTGGGGAAGAGAAGAAACTATAAATGGCTCTAAGTTGATTAAGACCACTTTGTTGAGAAAAATCCAATGGATTGTTAGGCTTAGATTGTCTCCATGCATTGTCCATGAGCTGAGTCACTCTCCCTGGGTTTCCTTTTTCATTTCAGCACCTGCTTTAATTAGCTGCTTCCTCCCACAGTAGAAAAGGCGGTGGGGGAGGGGGGAGTAGAGATTAGATGAGCAGTAAATAAATTAGCAGTGGCAGACATGCATCTCTTACTGTCTGAACCTTCATGACATCACAACAGAAACAGAAACAAGAGTGGAGACAGATGATCAGTTGTTTGCTTTAGAATTATCACTTTAGGGGCGCCTGGGTGGCTCAGTCGGTTGACTGAGGGACTCTTTGATTTCAGTTCAGGTCGTGATCTCAGGGTTGTGAGATCGAGCCCTACGTTGGGCTCTGCGCTGGGCGTGGAGCCTGCTTAGGATTCACTCTCCCTCTGCCCCTCAACCCCCTACCACTTGTGCCATAAATAAATAAATAAAGTTTTAGAATGATCATTCTGATGATTCTGATGATAGAATGGATTGAAGAGTTTAGGACACAGGCCAATCAGTCTCGTGCATTTGTCCTGGCAAAAGGAGAATGTCTCAATTTAGAGGGCAGCAGTTGAGATGGAGATGAGGGGATGAATTCGAGTCTTACTGAAGAGGTTTAAATGGCAGGATTTCAAGAACAGAAGAAATCTGGGATAACGGAAATTACAGGCATAGAGATCTAAGTG